CATTGGGCATTTCTAAACTCAGGACAAAATTTACAAACTATTTAGCATTGGTTTTTTTGGCAGTTGTAGATGCATAACAGATTGTGGGGATCAAAGTTTGAAAAGTGTGTTTTAAAAAAAAAAACACTTTTCAAATTGGTTTGTAATCCATTGCCATCGGGCTACCAAACCAATTATGGGACACCCTAAACGAACTGCCACAGGGCAGCACCCCCCGGGGAAGACCCTGGCAGGGAAATCAAGCTCCCTGACTAAATATTTTCGCGATGCAGCAGAGCAACAACCAGACCCAATAGGCCACAATATGGCGCCCGACTCGTCTCCAGCAGGCTCCCCACCTTCAAGCCCTCTGGGATCAGAGGGCTCGAGCCAAAACCCCGACACGGACATCAGGGAGTTGATAAGGGCTCTCCCGTCCAGACGAGACTTAGCCCAGATGCTGGGCAAACTTGAAGCCGCCTTCCAGACTAAACTGGACAAAATCGGTGCCGACACCCAACTCACTAAATAACGGGTGAGCGCACTGGAGGACGACAGGGACACATTACAAGCCCAGATTACATCACTGCAAGACAACATGAAAGCACAAAATGAACAAATCTCATACATGCAAAGGTCTATGGACGACCTGGATAACAGAGGGAGGCGGAATAATTTGCGAGTGAAAGGTCTACCGGAACAAGATGGGGAAGACCTGCAGGCCGTGCTCCATGAACTTTTCAGCCTCGTTCTAGGCCGACCCATCGACACACAAATTGTTTTCGATAGGACCCACAGGGCCTTACGCCTCAGGAGTGCCACAATGGATGCACCCCGGGACGTGGTGTGCCGATTGCACTATTACGAATGCAAGAATGATATCATTATGGTAGTCAGACGATCTCAACAGCCGCTCCTCTTCCACTCACATCCTATAGCAATTTACCCAGACCTGTCTTGGCTGACGCTCCAGGCCCGCAGAGCTATGAAACCAATCACGGATCAACTCCGAGCCTGCAACGTAAAATACCGATGGGGCTTTCCATTCTCCCTCACGGCTACTTATAAGGGCAATACAATTGCCATAACAACGATGGCAGATGTACCCGTTTTCCTGAGGGACTTCGACCTACCAGATGTCAGGATTCAAGACTGGTATGGTCCCATCACGCAGCAGATCACTCAAGCCATGCCGCAGCGAGCTCGCTGGCAGACCACCCCCAGAAAGAGAAGGACAGAACCGCCAACGGCTGCAGATGAGAGACCAGCACCAGACATCTCCCAACACTAACTGCACACCGTCCCGACCCTCACCCAACACAACAGTGGCACCCCACGAGACCTCCCTGCACGACATCAACTCTACCGACGCATATGAGCTTACCTCCGAGACGTTCCACAGGCCTGATCCCCCGGTTCACCAAGACACCGCTTCATCATTCCCAGAAATACGGCAGTTCGACCCAGGGGGAACCCTGAAAACCAGCACGTGGAACACGCAAGTATACCCTTACCCCTGACCGAGACTCCCACTACCCACAGCTGACAGCAAGGCCATACGCTCACCCAACTCTGCCTGTGAGCCACTGAGCCAACCCCCACTTAGACTCCCACCCGCCTTCACTACCCTTCGCAAGGTCATTGAGGATGAAGTCCCTACTCCGTTGCAATAAGGGGGAAGGCAGGGGGAAGGGCATCCGGAACAGTGCTCTACATTAGAGGCCTTGACTCCCTCACTCGCTTTGCCTCTAAGATATTGTGGACCGATCTCATTCTTTAAGACTCGGACAGATTCCTGCAAAACCTAAACTTTAATAATACTGTTTTTATTCACTTTATGTTCCAAAAGGGGAAAATTATTCATCCAAGGTTACTGTAGATCTTTATACTTTTCAATTGTATTGCTCTGATACTGCTACACAATCAGCCCCTATTTAATGTTAAGACCACTTTAACCACAAAGAACCAGACCGTTGCCCCCCGCCATGCCCCCTTAGCCGATAGAATCCCTTAGGGACACGTTTTCAGGGGATGGGAGGTCAGACCGGGCGGGGCGGGAGAGCACACAACACCCCCGCCACACGAGTGGCAATCCACATCACACTCGGCATCTCAAGTCCCGCCTTTTTTAAGCACCTGCCCCCAAGCCCTCACAACCCAAGTACCGGAAGGACCCCTCCTGCCACGCCAGACACGGAGGGATTGGGATAGGAAGCCCACCAACCCACAGGGGACCCGGAGGGCTCAAATGGGCCCACAGCCAGCTGGTACACGGCTACCCTCTTAAACACATGGTGACCCCCCCCCTTTTTCGTCATGACATCGGGGATGACTCCCGTAACACCGGCACCTCCCACCACCTTGGCCGGTGACCTCGTCCGCAGCCCAAAGATAGTAACCCCTACAGTCACCAGAGACCCAGCTCCTTCGAGAGCACTCACTCAGACAATATCAGGAGAGAGGGAACAAAAAATTTTTTTAAAAAAATTAAAATACAGTAATATACTGTTGTAAAACATTATCTGGTGGGCCTCTGGGCTTCTTCGGACCCCCGGGGGGGAGAGGGGAGACGCAATGAATCACACGGTACACACAGGGCGAGGAACATTATTGTACAGCTTAAACCCTGCCACGTTACCCTCTATCTAGATGAAGCCCATCCAAAAATCACCACCCCCTTAAGGGAGATTCCCAGGAGTCTTTGACGAGCATCTCACACGGTACACTGTAGCAATTAAGATTCTATTAGAAGGCCTAAAGGCACCGCAAGTCTATGCATGTATCTGCTTAACTTGTATTATATGTGTTATACGAACATGTTGTACTATTATGTGATGCACTCCTTCCCCTGACGCCATGACGCGTTGAGGCACCCAACTTACCCTCCCCCAGACGAGATACCCCTCTTGTCGAATGAGGCAATAAAACCCCAACATTGGCCTCCCAGACATGATGACACAAACAGATTAGCCTTGGAGACGAGATGATCAGACCATAAACGAGCTACAACTAACAACGGACATGAATACAACCCCCTCGTGGTGTGCCACAAACCACACGTACACATGCTGCGAAGCACGCTAACACCTGTCCCGACCACATGACACTGCCCACACTGATTGATGACATTTCATGTATATGGATATACACTCGACCGAGGACACCCAACACACCCGTACTTACACCGCGAATAAGAGACGACACTTAACTGCGCTGGAAGAGATCCACAGTGAGCTCAACCATAACGGCAGAAAATTAGGCTCCAATTTTGGGTCACAGACCCAACCAGGGTGACAATTCGCCTTCCTAGGTAGGAATACGCCCACCCAGGAGAGTCGCCCAAGGATACCCCCAGCACTCTACACCCCTGCTGCCTAGAGACAGTAACAGTAGACAGCACCCCTTCTTGTATATAGTTATAAAGTTTATCCCTACTACCCCCCCAACACACCAATTCACTTCGCCACCTACCCTCAACCTCCACCCCCTAAACAGGACAGACTGGTGCAAGCCTCCCCTATACCTGGGGACCCTCATGGCTACCCTACAGATCATCACACTTAACGTTAGAGGCTTGAATTCTCCCGAGAAGCGATCTCTGACACTCACTGAACTTCATAAACTTAAAGCCGATATCGCTTTCCTATAGGAGACTCATTTTAAAAAGAACAAAGCCCCCACCATTAGGGACCGTAGATACCCAACTGGATACTTTAGTAATTTCACAGACGCCAAAGCACGAGGTGTCGCAATTTTAATCTCAGCCCGGGTACCCTTCGTGTACACATCTCACAGGACAGATGACTCTGGGAGATTGCTTCTGGTCAAAGGACAAATAGGGCAAACAAAGGTCACACTAGCAAACACATATCTACCCAATAAACACCAATGCCGAACACTACGCCAGCACCTCAAACTCATAGGACAATTCTCAGAAGGCATACTCCTCCTGGGCGGAGATTTCAATCTCTCCCTCGACTCGACATTAGACACGACTTCACAAACCAACCATTACCAAACTTCGGCTCGAAGGCAATTCGCAACTTTAATGGACAAGACGCAGCTTTATGACTGCTGGCGTACATCCCATCCCTCAGACAGGGACTACTCTATTTTCTCTCCTGTCTCGCACACTTACTCTAGATTAGACATGTTCTTCCTACTGCACAGATACCTCCACCTGGTACACTCCAGTAGTTATGGTCCAATCACGTGGTCAGACCACGCACCCCTGTCTCTTACCATACAAATCCCAGCACTCCCACAATGATCATTCCAATGGAAACTCAATGACCTGTTACTCAACGCTCCGGACACTGTAGATGAGCTACGGAAATCCATCCAACTCTACTTCGCCGAAAATGCTACTCCCCTCGCATCCCCGTCCATAGTATGGGAAGCACACAAATGTGTTCTTAGAAGTGAAATCATAGCCAAGGCGTCACGACTTAAAAAACTTAGAGAAGCCAGAATCCACTCCCTCACGACCGAAATTAGAGACCTCGAGAACCTACACAAACGTGATACCAGGCTAACTACATACACGACACTCACAGCCAAACGCTCAGAGCTGCGAGACATACTCAACGCAAAAGTTAAACACACCCTCCTACGCACCAAACACACCTACTACGCCCAAGGAGGGAAAAGCGGTAGGCTGCTAGCACGTGCCTTACAAAACCAACGCCAAATGACGTTCATATCAAAATCAAAACCCCTCGCGGAGACATATCCTATAAACTACCAGACATTCTATTGTCCTTCCAATCCTTCTATACGGAGCTATACAACCTTAGGGACTCCCCCCCATCGGAATACGAAGTGGAAACGTTCCTCGCTTCTAGAATCCACCAGACCATCCCCGCCAACGCACTCCAGGCACTGGAAGCCCCAATCACCCCAGAAGAAGCCCAACTAGCGTTCCGCAAACTCCCACTGGGGAAAAGCCCAGGCCCTGATGGCTTCACAGCTAAATATTATAAGACATTCACGAATGACCTAACGGAACCATTCCAACAGGCCTTTAATTCGGTAGCACTCACCGCTTCCTACCCGCCTCTGCCCTAGAAGCCCACATTACCCTCATTCCTAAACCAGGAAAAGACCCGACTAATTGCGGAAGTTATCGTCCAATCTCCCTAATTAATATAGATCTCAAAATTTTCACCAAAATATTGGCCAACCGACTAAGGCCACTGCTTAATACACTCATACACACTGACCAGGCCGGATTTGTAACAAACAGAGAAGCCAAACATAATACCACCAAAATCCTGAATTTGATCTATCACGCTCAACGCCTTCAAACAGACAGCCTATTATTGTCAATCGACGCGGAAAAGGCGTTTGATAGAGTGGATTGGGTACTACTGCTGATGACCCTGAAAACAATGGGAATAGGACCTAAATGGATCCGGTGGCTACAAGCCATTTACTCGACCCCTACGGCGAAACTACGGATCAACGGACAATTGTCCGACCCTGTCCACATACGAAATGGTACGAGACAGGGGTGCCCCCTCTCCCCCCTCCTATTCATCCTCACCCTAGAACCCTTTTTAAATGGCATCAGAGACAACCCAGATATCAGGGGCATCATAATACAACAAACAGAATATAAAATCGCGGCATTCGCTGATGACCTGCTTTTTACCTTAGGATCCCCTGACACATCACTGGCGCCCCTCCTGGCCGAGATCTCACTCTATAACACAATGTCCAACTTCAAAGTAAATTTCTCCAAGAGCGAAATTCTACCAATCAGACTTGAACCCCCTATGCGAAAGCGCTTGCAAAACCTATACCAGTTCGCTTGGGCTGACAAGGCCATCACATACTTGGGAGTCCACCTTCCTGCAGACCTAAAATCTACATTCAGCCTAAACTTTGAACCCCTTATCCAATCCCTCAATAAAGACCTTCACAACTGGCACAAACCACAATTTAGTTGGCTCTGTAGAATTAACATCCTTAAGATGACAGTACTTCCCAAGGTGCTTTACCTGCTACAAACCCTGCCCATCACAATACCCAAATCATACTTCACCAAATTAAGACAACTTTTCACTACTTTCATCTGGGCACATAAACGTCCTACGAAGTTCTAACCAAACACAAAGCAAGTGGATGCCTAGGCTTACCACACATGGAAAGATATCACCAAGCCGCCATTTTATCCAGGATATACGAATGGACCTCTAGTCCACCAACGAGGCAATGGGGAAAACTCGAAAGCGCTGTATTCACGGTACCCCTATACACAATCCCATGGCAAAGAACAAACATGGCCGTGCTACTTACCCAACATGCCTCCCACCCCACAATCCACCCTACACTCAAGGTTTGGTCACGTATAAGAGAACTCCCGAACATCTCCCCACACCCGTCCCCCTTATACCCAATTACACATAACCCACTCTTTCCGCCAGGTCTACAGATGGTCACCTACCAAAATTTACAGGACTCAGCCGATGCGCTTTATCTCACACTGAGGAGAGTATTAGACAACAACTCTATCCGC